GGAAAGATCTTTCTGCACTTTAAAAAAAAAAAATTTAATTGATTTTCCAACTTATACACAGTGACTTTAAAGCTTATGCAGGATGACCCCATCCAAGGTCTCCTAAACAATATCACATAGCGTCAATTAGCACACATAAACATATTTTTCAAATTTACCGTATACCATATCTATCTTACATTCTTTCCTAACCATAACTTTTTCTAGCTAGCCTAACTTCCGTTTATTTCTATTTTCTTCATCCTCAGCCAGTCATATATTATTCCCCACCTATCCCAAAAATTTTCTTCCGGTTTATTTTGTAACTCTAAATTTACTTTATCCATTTCGGCTACTTCTAGCACTTTATATTTAAGTTCTTTTATGGTGGGTATGATCTTTCTGCACTTCCAAGAAAAAAGCCTCTTCTCAATCCAAGTAGGTAAGTTCTGAGCTGGATAGTCTGACTGTATGAGACAAAACAAAGTTTGAGTCCAGTGGCACCTTTAAGACCAACAAAGTTTTATTTAAGATATAAGCTTTCGTGTGCAAGCAGTTTCCTCAACCATTACATGGGGGGGGGGGGGTTTGTGCCGGGGGGGGCGTGTTGCTAGTTAGAATCAAGACGCATAAGTAACTGGGCAATTTTAGCTGAGATTGGATTAAGGCCTTTGTGTAGAGCTCTGAATAGCAGTAAATTAGCATACAAATACAAGGGTTAACAAACAGATGTGAGAATGAAGTTTGAGTCCAGTGGCACCTTTGAGACCACAAAGTTCAATTCTGGGTATAAGCGAAAACTGAGAGACTCCTTCAGATCTGTTGATACAAATTTCTTAAAATATTACATATAGGTGGGGGCATTGAGAAGAGCTAATTAGAGTCAAGATGCATAAGTAATTGAGTAATAAATACAGCTAAGATCATTTTCTGTATGCAGGTTTGCAGTTATTTACATGTCTTACCAAATGTGTTGTTCCAGTCTTCATTCTCACCTGTTTGTTTAACAATGGGTAACTCTTATATTTGTATGCTAATTTACTTCCATTCAGATCTTAACGATCTCCTTAATCCAATCTCAGCTATAATCACTTACGCATCTTGATTCTAACAGGCACTTAAAAATTTAAATGTAAAATTAGCAGAGAGAAAAATGACTATGTTTGACTCAGTTTATAGAAATGAAATTGGAGTAATGACTTATTGTAACTAAGCTGGTTGGAGATCTCCTCTCTTGGGTTTTTAGATAGTACTGGGTTTCTTTACTCTGTCCCTGTATGTGTAGTTCCCTAGATCCTTTTTTCTTTGTAGTATTTGTACAGATATAAAAATAATTTAAAAATCCCCTCTGGGGGAATCAAAAACAACAACAACCACATTAATCCAGTCTCAGCTATAATCACTTACCCATCTTGATTCTAACTAGCCCTTCCTGACAAACTCCCACCCCCCCCCTCTCTCTTCCTATATGCAATGGTTGAGGAAATTCTGTTTCACTATCTGAAGAAGTGTGCTTGCACACAAAAGTTCATACCTTGAATAAAATGTTGCTGGTCTTAGAGGTGCCGCTTTGTTTTGTTGCTTCAGGCCAACACGGCTACTCACCTGAATGTATCTGGAAAAGTGTGCTTGCACACGAAAGCTTATACCTTGAATAAAACCTCATTGGTCCTAAGGGTACCACTAGACTCCAACTTTGTTCTGCTGCTTCAGACCGACGCAGCTACCCACCTGAATCTATCTGTATGAGGCAGTTTGATATGTTTCTCCTGTTTGCACAGGCCTAGTTTATAGGATTGCCAGCCTCCAGGTGGGGCCTGAAGATCTGCTATTCTGTTACGACAGTCAATAGAGATCGTTCCCCTGGAGAAAATAGCTGCTTTGGAGGGCGGTCTCTAGGGCATTGTCCCGCCCCTCCCCAGGTCCCTCCCCTCCCCAGGCTCCACCCCCAAAATCTCTAGGTATTTCCCAACCCAAAGATGGCAACCCTACTAGTTCAGTGTCCGTAGAAAAGAACAAGAGCCCAGTAGCACCTTAAAGTCTTTAAGGCGCTACTAGAGTCTTGCTCTTTTCTGCTGCTACAGACAGACTGACACGGCGACCCGTCGTGGTCTAGTTCCGTGTCTGGGTTTGGAGTTTGCATGGGGGGTTTGGGGTTTGCCTTCATGACTGCTTTCCCCCCCCCCCCCCAAAAAAATCTTTTTTAAGCGTGTTTGAAGGTTTACATAACGCTTGGGGCAGACTGCAGTGGAACAGAGCCGATTACAGACGGGTTTGTGTGACTGGTTGCTCCTTTCTACCGGGGGGGGGGTGTCTTTCCATATAGAAAACGAGTATGTCTCAAAGGGTGTTAGCTGGATGAGGGGCTTCTGCTTGGATGTGAATTCCTTTTCCTTTTGGCAGGACAGAACGTGCAGTGGAAGTGGAGCCCATTTCAGCTTGTGCGTTGCGGCTTGCTTGACTGCATGATTACGTACAAGCTTACGCAGGCTTACAGTGGGGGTTTTGGACAGATTGTTTGACTGGGCTTTGGCTGGGATTGCTCCCCTGTTCGGTTATTACCTCCACATAGAAAGGTAGCATGTCAAAGAGAAGGATTGTTCTCTCTAAAATGTTGGTGTTCTGTCATTCCTTATCAGCTCCTGTTTTGTATCGGCAGTAGAACAGGCCCGACAGATTTTCTCTAACTGAGAACTTAGCTTGAAAAAGTTCTCCTTTTTTTAAAAAAAATCCCTCTCTTTACATGACCCAGCTGTTGTCATTTTAAAGTATTTTTTTATCAGCTTGGGCCCCATCCTGTTATCAGTTGCATGTTTCAGATCTTTGGAAGTTGTACAAGGTTATTTTTGGATGGCGGCTAAAACTGTCTCGATAGTACGTCTCTCCTGGCCTTCATGTGTGTGTGTGTTTTGGCGCATCACAAATCAATTTACCTTTGGTAAAGCGGGGACAAGAGCGATGGCTTGTG